CCTTTTTTGGGAAGAGAGGAGATCTGGGAAGAGAGGAGATCTAGAGGAGTGGAGGATGGTTTCAAATCCGGAATAAAGGAGATCGGTTCTCTTGAAAGAATAGAGGAGATCGGTTGACGGGAGAATGGGAAGAGACATGTGCTCTCTTTCCACCACAATCCTTTTTGAACACGAATTCGTTGGAATCCGGTTGTTTTCTGCTCACTTCCCAGACTCAAACACACTTGATTTCATTTGAAAAGGAAAGAAATGGCTGAATGAAGTGCGGTTAGCGGTCGAGGAATGAGCATTGGGGATTGGAAGTGACGAGGTGCGCAAGTAAAGCTCTATAAGCTCCTTTTGTGATCTTTATTAACCATAAATCATCTGTACTCCACATTTTTTGTGATATGCTAAGTTGTATGAAAGTTTTTCAGTAACTGCTTTTCATTAAGAACTCTGAACTTCATTAAGAACTCAAAGAAGATCTTTATTAACCATAAATCATCTGTACAACACAATAACATTAAACGATGAATCTCTTTTTATCCAAAAATCCCATTTCCTGTTCTCTGCAAGCAATTCGGGCCGGAAAAACCGAGATTACAGAGACAATTGAAGTTTTTTGAGCTTCCCACACATAAACCATTTCCACCACATTGAAGACCCGAGTTACAGATTGGTTCTAGACTTTTTTTATGAATTTGATTAGACTTTTCAATAGAATACTACCGATTTCACATCTCAACCCGGAAAATCCAAGATTGCAGAGACAGACTGGAGCCAGCTTTGTCCCTAAAGTGATTGACTACAGCAAAAACCCAATCACTGATACCAATGCAAATCCCATTTCCACCACAGTCGGAGATCTCACAGAAAGGATTTGTTAGCGCATTCGCGGGTCTCAGATCAAAGCCTAGTCTGTTAGATGAAGAAATTTGCAGAATTCCTCACCCAATCTTGTTTCACAATCCTTTCCCAAATATCCAAGACCACAGAGACAGAAATGTAGCTGTTTTGAGCCGATACAAATGCCTGATTGACTGCAATCATTGTTGTCACAAGGCGTTCCGCTGACTGAAATCAAGAAATGAATTTGTTTAGAATTCTCTTTTGGAACACTGAACTGACTCACTTGTCTCACATCGTTGCCCAGAATATCCAAGGTGACAAGCACAAAAGTAGCTTTTCTTCGTCCCAATGCAAAGCCCATTGTTGTTACAATCCGTTGGATCACAGAGAGGGTATGGAGCTGAAGTTTAATGATTTAACTTCTTAATGATAGCAATTTGGAATATAAACATACTTTTCTCACAACGTGCCCCAGTATATCCAATATTACAAGCACAAACATAGGATCCTTTTGTTCCCAAACAGACACCCTTATTATTGCAATCAGCTGCAGTACATGGAGTGGCTGATCCAGGAATATCTTGGTTTACTAGAAGAAGTTGTTTTTGCTGATTTCCAGGCTTTTCAGGAACTCACGAAATTTCAACTCTTCCATTTGATTTTCACAACGGAGACCAATGTAGCCGAGATGACAGAGACAAACCGGGAAAGCCTGGATTAAATACTCTTTGTTACCGTATTTCAACCGAATAAACTCCCCCACCAACTTTAGAAGCCTCGCTTTTAGCCTCATTTTGAGAGATTTTTATGTTTAATATACCAAAAGATAGCCCTTAATGTCTTCTATGTTTTCGAATATTAAACCTAAAAATATCTCAAAATGGCGCTGAGAACGAGGCTTCTAAAGTTGGTAGGGGGGAGGCGTTTATTAGAGGAAATGCGGTAATTGAATCTATTGCAGTAAAATAAACCCTTAATCTAACACAGGATAATAAAATTGAATTATTGTACGTTACATTATTATTGTCTATTATTGTACCTTCAATCCAACACAGACTCCCCGTCCATTACAATCGGTAGCTGTACAAATTCCATCAACTGGCTGAGAGAAGATCGATCCCAATCCATTCCCGCCTAATCCGCCGAGATTTCCAAGACCGGGTAAACCTAGGAATTGAATTATATTTGACTATAATTACTAGAATTTGACTATAATTACTAGAATTATATTTGACTTTAGCAACCTGGTAGCCCTTCAAAACCGAGTTTTGGCCCTCCACCGAGAGCTCCAAGTCCGCCCAATCCACCCAATCCTCCAAAAAGATCAAGACCAAGTCCATTCCCGCCAAGTCCTGGGAGGAAATTATTTAAACCACCACTTCCAAAACCTGAATTTGCAAATAATACTTATCCAAACTTTTCCCACGAACTTGATTCACATTTCATCCCGAGAACTCCTGGATCGCAGAGACAAAGTGGAGCAGCTTTGGCTCCAAGACATGTTCCCCTTCCCGAACAATCCATTCGATCACAGAGAGTCTGAGAATGCTGTTAAATAGCTTTCAAAGTTTTAGTTGTTTTAGCTCTACGTAGTTTCTCACAAAACAGTCGATCTAAACTCACCAATCCAGGTAACTGCATACTAAAACCAATATGAATCAAAGAAATAACACAAGTAAATGCTAAGAGCAGGTTCATTGTCCAAAATTTTATTAACGCTAATGATTTAGAGTATTTATAGCTATTCGGGATCTTTTCGGGTCAAAAAAGGCCAAAACCCTGAATCAACATTGACTATTGTGACCCGACCTTTGTTTTCCATTTTTTTTAAAGTAAATATTCCTGAGGATAGTACTAATCCTATTATTGTCTTTGATCAGAAATAATTGTTTTCAAAAAAAATTGATGCAATGGTGAAGGACTTGTGAGTTCCATTGTAAATAGCTTTATAAGTATTAGGTTGATGCAAAAGTCTTTTTCATTTTTTTCGTACTTCTGTTAAAAAGTAACAAATTCACCAATTAATCTATAGTTTGCCTATAAAAAAGTGTTTTTGTTCAATTTCCATCTTTTAAATCAATTTCGGTTCACTTTGAAGCAAATTCGAGAGTGAAAACGCCTTTTTCGTAAAAATCTATAAAAACTCTACGGAAAAATTGGCTGAATGGTCCTGAAATTTTGGCGAAATATCAAACTTTTTTTTCTCTATCTTTTATCTATTGACACAAAGATAGGTTTTCTTTAGCTAAGGTGTCTAAACCGCATCATCGAGTTAGCCCTTTTTGACTACCCGACTTCATACTCTCAAGAAAATCCAGGCATTAAATATTTTTAAACCCGTTTTAATGTTATTTTGCAGAAAAATAACTGGTTTTTCTAATGAAATCAACCGTAGTTTAATTGGTGCATTTGTTCGCTTGAAACGGCAGACGAAAAAAATGAAAAAGATTTTTGCATCAACCTAATATATTTAACTTTGATCTTTCGCTTTCATCATTCCACTTTTCCAAATGGTCGAAGGAATCGAAGAAAGCGAGCACATGAGGGAAATGTGTGAGATAAAGATCTTCCTCCAAACGGTGAAATCTCTTCAGCCTTGACGTTTCCAAGCTTTTCAAAGAAAAGCCTTTCAAATTCCAATCCTCATCATCAAATATTGATTCTTGAAATTCTGCGGATTCCAAAACATCAATTGGCTCTAAAGTTCTTTTCCAACAACAAAGCCAACTTTTCTTTGTTTTCTTTGTTTATTCTGTCTAATCTTCATTTCCATTTCTATTTCTTTTGGCATTTCAAATGCCAATAATTGAATCGAATGCTCTCCGAGAAAAAAGGTAAAAGATTATGGATTAGAAAGGTTAAAATTGTTTCCTCAGCAATATTTCTCCATGAATTTTCCAATTCCAGGCCAACTTCTTTACCGTTTCAAAAAGTCTCTCAAAAGAAGCAGTATATGTCAGGTTTATTATTATTGTTATTATTTATATTTTTGAGATGACAATTTGAGTTTGCATTATAACATTCTGTTTCTAATCTTTTAAAAAAGAGCAATGAGAATTGAAATGAGTGAAGAGATTTCAATCTTTTCAATCTTTTCCCGTTTGAATTCTCTAGAGACATCTTTTCAAATATTAGAACATTTAGTGAAACCTTTATTGCGTTAAAGTAAAAATTTATGATGTCGGATGGTAGAAAATATGAGTTTAGGGTATCTGTTTGACAAAGTTTTGTCTGAAATGCAAAGAGGGAATTGCTGGAGGATGGGTGAGTGCTGAGAAGATATTTGGACATGAAGAATCGTGCAGCTTACAAGGGAAAGGCACTGAGTCAAGCTGGGCTTTGACTAGACCAAGCCCATCCTATAAAGATCTCGAATTAGTTTCTAAAACGCCAAAAGATCTGTGAGAGTTGGACTCGAACCTGGGGAAAGAAAGGTAACACGTTCGGCAGTCCAACAGACTATCCACTAGACCACCGATGCAGCTTTTCAGGGGGCATGTGGCGGCTTCTTAAAGAGTCCCTGCCTTTCCCTTGCCAGAAAGACAAGGGGGTTAATTTCAGGAGAGGCGTAGCTAGGATTTCGTGACTTTGAGTCAAACGGCCCGACTTCCTCGAGTCAAACGGCCCGACTTCCTACTCCCAATCAATTTCCGACCAAGGAATTGAATTGAAAATTGAAAAAAACTCAAAAAAAGTGAAAATGGCCAACTTCAAATGCGAAAATCTCGAAAACTAGATGGGCAACCGTTTTTTATTTTGGTTGGCCCCTCTAGTCAAATTTCCTCTATTTTCTGAAAATCATAACGTTAGTTTTGTAAAATCAATGATTCATGCCCAAAAACTCGTTTTATCGAAATTTTTGCACTAAAATGCCCTTTGAATTTTTTCAAAAAACTGCTTAGACAGTTTTGTAAACTGAAATCTTTAAAAAATATAATTCCTTGATCGGAAATTGATTGGGGGTAGCCTCGAGGAGGTCGGGCCGTTTGGCTCAAAGTCACGAAATCCTAGCTAAGCCTCTGAATTTCAGGGATATATTCGAGTTCTCTATGACCGCTTTTATAAGGCCTGGAGTTGGTCTAGTCAAATGGACAGCTTGACTTAATGTCTTTCCCTTGTAAGAATTGCTGTAAAGCTGAAGAAGTAATGCTTGCCTCATTCAGACCTCGATGAAGTCCTTCCTCAACGATTTCTGCCAATTTCTTCGTAAATACAAGACCTCAATGCAAACCGCTTTATTGCTTCTTTTCATCTTTTTCTTTGTGACACTTTACAAGGTATTTGTATTTAGATTGACTTGATTGTCATTCATTTCCAGATCCAATACAAAACAGGTATCGAGATCATTCCCTTTCTGCCAATTGATGTCAGTGGATTTGAGTGAGGGAAAACGATTCAAATTCTAGCTTTCAAATTTTAGTCAATACAATGAGAATCTTTTGGTCGATATCGATATCTCAGAGTCGGCGTTGAGCCAGCAAAAGAAAGGATTTCTTTTCTGTTGGGTGATGACCGCTCCGATTCATCACACATCAAGAGTGGGTTTGTGAAGATAATGCTGAGGCTTAGGCTTAGGCTTGGACTTAGTGCGAAGGCTAGCGGCTAGCGCCTCGCACTAAGTCTGGGGTTTGGGCTGAACCCCCATTTTCTGGATCTCAGCCAGTTCTCGGAGCTAAGGGACAGGCGTTGGGCGATCATCGCCCCCATATTAGGCTGAGGCTTAGGCTTAGGCTTGGACTTAGTGCGTAGGCTAGCGGCTAGCGCCTAGCACTAAGTCTATTTGGGTTTGGGCTATACCCCCAATTTCCGGATCTCAGCCAGTTTAGGCTTAGGCTTAGGCTTAGACTCAGGCTTAGGCTCAGGCTCAGGCTCAGGCTTAGGTTTGTGAAGATATTGCTAAATAATTAAACTTTAAAGTCAAAGTTTCATTTCAAGGTGAAAGCCGTCAATTCAACCTGGTTACCCAAATGTGATGCTGGTCATTTTTACACTACAAATGGGCATCATCTCTCGCAAAAAGTTCTCAACAACTTCTTTTGTTTCCCCAAGAAATTTCTAGATTCCTTTTCATACAATATTCAATGCTTTACCCGATAGTTACTTTAAATTATTTTGGAAAACACGTTTGGCTCTTCTTTATTCATATAAACATGTATCAAAAGAATTTGATTGGTAAGTTTATTATCTTTAAAATAATAGGAATATAGTTCTTTTAGGTATTTTAAAGGCGATGATGATACTTATGTCGTTGTGGATACTTTAAGGGAATATTTGAAACAATTCGATCACAATAAACCATTCTATATTGGATATCGGTTGAAGAGGAGAATGGTGAGGTTAAAGTTATGCAGTAATCATTAAAGGTTTCATTGAAATCGTTTAGCCTGAGCACGGCTACAATGCGGGCGGTTCAGGCTATGCGATGAGTCGAGCGGCGATGAAAATCTTTGCCGATGAGCTCTATCCGTCAAAAGATCTTTGTCCATATCATGAATGGGAAGATTTAGCGATTGCTAGGTAAGCAAAGAGTACAGTACTTTAAATTTAGACTGCCCATCAACCATCAATCATTTTAGATGCCTTGGTTCAAAAGGAATTCGTCCAACAGATACCCGGGACTCAAAAGGAAGACAACGATTCCTTGCATGGCGTCCTGAAGAGCATTTCAATGGAGATCTCACAAGGAGTTTCATCTATGATAAAGTTGAACACAAGGTACTTAACCAAAAGAGAAACACCCTTTTCCGGTACACGTGGTTCTTGTAAGAACTTAAATTCTGTTTCTTTGTTAGTTCTAAGTTTATAAAATGGATAGGACTTGCCAAAAGACATGTGTTTACCCTTTTTGAAAGTAAAGTACGCCAAAAATATCCGGAGTTCACTCAAAAAGTTTCAGGGATTCGAGATCTATCACGAGAATTTGATCAGTCTTCATCATTTACAGCCAGATGAGATGAGATTGATTCACGGGATATTGTACGGTGAGAGAATTTACTAAAAAGCTTTAAGATAATACCGATTTCAGGAGTCTCTAGCGCAATCAACAAGCAAGTCGAGACACCAAGCACTCCTTTGGAGACATCATTGAGTCCTCCAAATGGAACGATTATTCAATAAATAGATCATTCCGTAAATAGATTATTCAATAAACAGCTTATTCAATAAACAACTTATTCAATAAACAGCTCATTCATTTCAAAACTTGTATCAAACTTATCGGAAAACAGTTTAGACTACAAACAGGAAATTGGCCCTCGTGGGTGTGGGAGAGCTGAAAGGGCTGACTTTCAATGATTCAACTTTTATTTGAATAACAAAAACATAGCTGGGTATTTAGATAGTTGGCTTGGTTTTTAGGAACTTCAAAGTTCAAAGTTTTTAGGAACTAAAGTGTCAACCTGATTCCCCACTTGCATTTTATCCAATCCAAACTCTTTTCCATTCTTCATTCTCCCTAACATTTCATTAATTCGATCCAGCTATTCAACCAATTTTGACTCCTTGACGTGATGTTCCTAAAAATAATCTCCTTTATTTTGTGAAAGCCTTCACTTCTTCTTGATCCTTCAACTTTGTATTCAAATTTTTCTAAATCTCAAACGCTACAGATTAATCTTTTTTCCAACCAAGCACTTCCTTTTGCAATGCACGAATACTTTGTTCAGCTGAATCAGCCAGCAACTTTTCTGTACTCAATGAGGCGAGACTCTTGCTTTTTGATAAGATCTCCTTTGTAACAAATGCGTAAGTGTAACTGTTTTACTAACCAGTTATCGTATTTTACTCGACATTACAACTTTTCATGTCAGTCGAAAGCTTTTTTTGATAAACGAATAGAAAATGGAAGTGTTTGCCTTTGAAACATTGGCAATTCTTCGTTTTTCTAATTCCCTGTAAGCTAAAATTGTGCGAAAATTGAAAAAAACGGCGTGTTTTATAATTTCTCTCGAAAATTGTTATCTGGTGCAGAGGTGGCAATTACAAGAAATGGCAAAGGAATGGAAATACCGGGTTTTCGAATAAAAACTGAAATATTGTTTTGCTAAAAAATCGACTTTTATACTTGTTTTATTTAAAGGTTTTTGAAAATTTATCACCAAGAGACAAAAATTGAGAACTTTTCCCTCGAAATCCAGACAAGAACTCATGTGGTCATGGGAAGGGGAAAGTTGGGAAAAACCAAAATTCATAGCTATCTTTTGTGTGACTTTGTGAGTAAAAAACGTAAAACGACATAGCTTTTAATTGCGAATTAATTTGAAAAATTTGAAATTTGAAGTTGCTTTAAAATTAGATCATCTTTTAGCCTTTTCATTTCCTGTCTGATCGCATTTTTCTTTCCTTGAACTATTCATTTCATAAACTTTTATCTTTTTCTGTTATTTTAATATGTTAATCTTCATTTTTTAAAGTTATCTTTTAGCCTTTTCATTTCCCTTCTGAAATTGACGTTCATCAAAAGAAATGATTGTAGAAATGATTGTAGAAATGCATGAGAAAAGGAAAGGTCAACAATTATAGCCATTTTTGTGGCAATCTTTTGCGTTTTTCAATCTATTTTCGTCATTTTCCTTTTCGAATGTACAAGAATTAAACATGCAATGGGAAAACTTTGAGAAAATTCTATTTTTAAAGATAAAATTGGAAGTCCTGACGTAGAATTGAGTAAAGTTTCGACTTCTGTAAACTGTAGACTGTAGACTGTAGACTTCTGTAAACTTCTGTAAACACTTCATGCAAACCGGTGAAAAACGCTCAAGAACTGAGCTCTTCTTCAGCGTTTTTCACTGAGCTGAGCTAGTTCTTGAGAGTTTGCATCAAGTTCTAGATAGGTTGAATCACATTAGTTTTGCTTCCAAATTGTTACTTTCAGCAAAGTTTTCTGCAGATTTGTTCCCCTTTGATGATTTGCTCAGGTTCGATTTCCATTCTCAAACTGAACCCGAACTTTTAACCCTTTTTTGTATTTAATAGTATGGTTAAAAGAGCTTAAATTGTAAGTTCTTCAATCCTCAAACGTTATTTTCTGTTTTCAAACTATACAAAGTGATCATTAAGCCATCGGAAATGAATCTAATTTCAATTCTCTGCCTTCTTTTCAACACTTTTTCACAATTTAATCTCAGGTACATTGAAAAAGCGCTTAAAAATTACGATTTTTACCTCAGCACATAAAATTCTCGGCTCGCTTTTCCAAGTATTTGTTCCGTTTAATGAAATTTACATCAGAAAAGGTGGAAATTCTGCTTTTTCAACTCAATTTCAAATATTTACTTCAAAAATAGTGTTTTCTCGATATTAACAACGATTCTTTAACAATGTCGAATGTTTTTGATTTCTCAAGAATGATAGATATTCACTCAGAAAGGGCAATGGATTTCTCGAATTGCACTGTGGTGGAAATGTATGTGAAGAGCGGTTTCCTCAAGTCGCTTATGATTGTACAGGTGAGAAATTTCACATCAAAACAAAACAAAACTAGAATTCGGAATTCGGAATAAAATCTTATCTTTTACAGGCAAGTTCCTCAATTTTATGCCTTTTCTCAACAGCATTCACTGCTCGTCGTGTCTACCGAACTGTGCTTATCGATTTGCCTTTTAAAGTAAGATCTTTTATGATTTAGAGATTTCATAAAGTTTAGGAATACTTGTTGGTTTGTTACGGGATTCAAATTATTCAATCGGCTTCTCTTGGTTTCTTACAGGTTGAAAGCTTTCTTACAGCTTGAAAGCTTCTTACAGCTTGAAAGCTTCTTACAGCTTGAAAGCTTCTTACAGCTTGAAAGCTTTCTTACAGCTTGAAAGCTTCTTACAGCTTGAAAGCTTCTTACAGCTTGAAAGCTTCTTACAGCTTGAAAGCTTCTTACAGCTTGAAAGCTTCTTACAGCTTACTCTAAAAATTCACTGAATACTTTAGATCTTTTTGCTCATTCGTTTCTTTTTCTTGAACACTTGTGATGTGCCGATATCAGGGACATTATGTTATTCATTGAGGTGAGTGAATGAGCAGATTGGGTTTCGAGGGAAATCCTAGATCATTTCAAGTGTACATAACAGAGAGAAATTTATACCTTTCACTGAATTCACTGACTGAATACCTTTCAACTTCGTTAGTTAAAGCTAAATAGATTCAGCTAGAATACCGTAGTTTACCATATCTTTTGACAACTCGAAATATCTTTTCTTAGCTCTTTTCTTAGCTCTTTTCTTTAGATTCATCTCGAACATCCCAATGAACGGTCTTCCATTTGTCAATGCAGCGTTGACCATTTTTCGTTTATTAATCTTTTTACTTCGTACTGATTGTAAACGAAAGCAAATGCAATTGTTGAGGATCTGTGAACTATTGACGGTAAGATTTACAATTGCAATTCATCCGCACCCATTAACTATAAACTCAATATCATTAAAAACTAAAATGTAAATATAAACTAGAAGTTTTCTTGTGTACTATCTGAATGCAGTACTATCTATTCTTGTGTACTTTTCTTGTGAATGCAGATAAGATTTTTGCAAATCTCCCTGGGGGATAAATATTTTATTCCAAAGAAAACAATGATTTTTGGCGTTGTGAATGAGAGCTGTGAATAAGAGCCGTTGTCAATGATGCCAATGTCAATGAAGACAATGAATGAGAGCTGTTGTCAATGATTTTGCCAATATTTGGATTGATTAAGATAATGATTAACTAGTAAAAGGTGTTGAAAAGCCGATTTCAAAAGTTCAAAACAAAGAAATTTGATGATTATGAGTACTAGATACTGTCAATTTTATGTTTAAGTCGAAATCTATCAAAGAATTCTCTATTTCAGATATTATGCTTTGTGCTCGATTCGTCATATCGATATTGGGGCGTCGAATTTCCGGAAAAAGTCGCTTATTGTACTGGGAATATGCAGCAATTGGCGGCAAAATTGAATCTCGAATCTTATATTTCGCTGGGAATGGAAGTAGTGACAAATTTGATTGGGATTTGGCTATTCAGGAAGCATAAACAAGATCTCTCGTGGGTAAATCGTTGTCAGTTAAGAGTATAGTAAAGGAAATTGGTCTATTGTTATCGGAGTCAGCTTTGAGACAAGCACAACCAGTCCAGTTTCGTTCAGGTTCAGTCAAGGATTTCGTTCACTTTAGACTCTAGGATTTGTTTTAATTGGCTAGTGAGGTTTCTGTCCAAAACTGGAAGAAAATTGGAAGAAAATTGGAACAAAATAGAAAACGTGGAAACTTTTCCGCGTTCTGAAAGCTTGATTCGATAAAAGTTGAGATAAAATGACTAACAAAAGCTCTATTTAGCCAGAAAGAAAAGCGTTCCTATGATGTGAATGTGACATTGATGAGACGACAAATTATGTACACTTATATTCTATTTTTACCCTACAGTATCCTTCACACAATCTCTTTTGGAGTCTTCAATCTTGTGTCGATTTTTTATCGAAATCATTTCTACAATTTACCCGAACCTGACTATTCGGCTGGATCTGGATTCACTTATGTAAGGATTCTTTGCCAAAATTTTCCCCCGCATTCACAATTTCAGATTCCCTTATATTTTTCCGTGATTTCTCCATGGATACTTTATTTTATTGTGTTGAGAGCTGAGTCGAAGAGAGCGACAAACACACAAAACTTGATTTCCGAAGAGAAAAACGCTCAAAATGTCTATTTCGATATGGTCGCAAAACAATGGGAAATGCCCAAATATACCGTTTCGTCAAGAAAAAAGTGAGTTTTTAGTAATTACTGCACAAAAAGCACAACCTGGTACATTGCTTGGTTAATTAAATCCTCACGTTCAATTACCCAAGTTTAGTGTACAAGTAGCTCTAAAGCTATAAATGACTATAATGGCTATAAAGATTCCATTCAATTATTCTAGAAAGAAGAAGAACAAAGTGTTTTCGGCTCAATCGACAAGGATTATTTCGAAAGAGGAAACGCAATCAAATCCATCAATCAATGGATAATAAAGAGTATCAGAAAAGTATTTGTGAACCAAGAATTGCAGTGTAAAAGAAGAAGAAAACAAGAAGAGAACATTCAAAGCCATCACAAAACTCTAACGTTTAAAAAAAATTAAAAACTTGACGCGAAAAATCACGAGCGCCGACTTATATACGACTTCTTTGTCGATACGAATAGATACGAACATTTGGTGGCAAATCCCACCAAATGTAAAGATATTCAATTTACTCAATTTAAAGAGGATTTCTTGTAGTTAATCAACCGAAAAACGTCGATTAATTGAGTAAAAATGACTCATTATAATATATATGCTTTATTCAGGGGGCGAATAGAAGCGAATCGGATAATCATAACCGTATATAATATATTGCTACAATACTTTCAAAACGTTCACATTTGCAAGCAACAACACAAATCTCACAATTGCTACAATACCTTCACAAAAAAAAGAAAGAAAACTATTAGGTTTTGAATTCCCGTTGTTGGCAATTTTTGAGTTCTTTGCTTATGCGGAAGAGAGCACTTAGCGAAAGACAATGCCAAAGATGATTTCAGCGGTTCAAAGATGGAAATGAAAGTCTCCAAGACGAGGAACGGTCTTGACGATCAAAGGTCAATCCCCACAACCAAAACCGACATTACTTTTTCCTCAACCTAATAAAAATGGTACAGTAAGACAACAGTTTGGAAATACAGGTAAGAAAAGATTAAATATAGAGCAGATTTGACATGGAAATAAGATCTAATTCGTTTACAGATACTTTCAATTTTCCTACAGACGACAAGATACCAGACGAGAGCTTATTCCAAACACTACTAATACTGTTCGCAAAAGAATGATAAAGGGAAAGATGATGGGGATGAGAACCGACCGAAATTTAATAAGGATGACTACGTGTACTTCTAGATAACTCTTTTTTAAGTACTTCAAAAGAATCTCAGCCGATCGTTTCCAACAAAGGCAAAAGTTCACTTCTCTTTCTCTTCCTCTTTCTCTTTCTCTCTCTTTCTCTTTCTCTTCTTTCTCTTTCTCTTTCTCTTTCTCAAAATTCTACTGAGGGAATGGTTGTTGATTTGTCTTTTTTGTTTTCCCAGAAAACGACATAAGGCTTTCACTACAAAAACGAGATCTAAAGGGAAAATTTTGTGGGAAACTTTTGAAGCAAATCTCTGTTTATCGGTGACACTCATATAAAGATTACTGGGTTACTATAGTTTCATTCAAAATTTTGATAAATATTTGAAGATTTTGAGTTTTAAAACCCTTCATGAGATGCTTTCATTTTTATTCATTTAAAAATACCCTATAATTTTTTTTAAGTCTCAAATCAAGTACAGGTCTTGTACTTCTTCAATATCAACTTTCTCAGACATTTAAAAGTTTTGCAAAACTTCTTGTGGAACTAAAATCCATTCCAACTCTAGAAGAAACCCTGCTCTGTTCCCTTTCTGTTCAAAATACTAGAGTTTTAGAGATCATGCCGAGTACAAACTGCTCCGTGGCTATGACTTTCATTAATAGTCCTTGGTTGAGATTCGCTCTTGGGTATACAACTTTTCTACCTATTTTGTCGATGATTTCACTCATTTTGACATCGAGAAAGTTGCGGATGACAGTGCATATCGATCGGCCGTTTAAGGTAGTTTTGCACTGTTGCATGAGTCTCCAATTCACTGGGGGAACTATTCGGCAACGATTTATTATAAGTTTTATTTTAAAAACGCTGTTTTAGCATTCTAAGAGATACGTGTTTTGTTTTCTTTGTTTTTTTGCCATAGTCTCTAGTCAGTTCACTTCATTAATACCAGCAAATGGTTGTTTTTATAAAAACAGGTGTGCCTTTTCAGGTGTACCTGTTTTTCTGTTATGGAGTGCTCAGTTCACAGAATTGTTGCTTCATCGTTTTACATGTAAGTTCATTCAACAAGGACAACTTTATGACTTTTTTTTCTAATAAAAAGTTATGCAAGCTTTAATTTTAACCATACAAATGTTTGGTAGTTGCTTTGGTTGAAGCTTGTTAGATGGAGCTTTGGTTGAAGCTTGTTAGATGGAGCTTATTAGATGGAGCTTGACTCATTCAGTCAAGCAAAAAGTTGTCCAAAGTTCACAAACTTTAGAAAAACTTTTTTAAAAAAATCACAGAAAATCTTTACTTTTTTGTATTTTCCCATAATTCGAGAAGAGGAAATGATTGGGAAAAGTCTGGACAAAGTGTGTACGGAAATACTTCATGAAATACTTAATGAATCTTTAATCAAATATTAAATTGCACTTTTCCAGACAACTTTACTGCTCCAATACACCTTTTGGCCTTTCTGTGAGGTTCAATTACCCAGATGGTTTTGTTATGGGATTCGTTTCACGGGCGCTCTTTCACTTTCATGTCTCATTTATATGAATGTTGCGATCACTTTGTTTCGTCTAATCGTTTTTCTCAATCCTGGAATCGCGTCTAGAAGACAGGAAATGTTGATCGGGATTCTGGGAATGCTAGCGGTGAGTTTGGTGGTTCAGAAAGTCTTTCTTTTCGTGCTTTCGTTGAAAAATTAGAAATTTACCAATTGATTTAAAAAAAAATACATTTTATTGAAAACCAATAATGTGATACAAACAAAAGATACATAATAAGACATAAAGGTCTAAACAAACAATTTTATGGCACTGCGCCCGTCGTCCCCCTATTACCCCTATTACCCCTATTACCCCTATTACCCCTATTACCCCTATTACCCCTATTACCCCTATTACCCCTATTACCCCTATTACCCCTATTACCCTATTACCCTATTACCCTATTAATGCTATTACCCCTATTACCGGCAATAGGGGTAATAGGGGTAATAGGGGTAATTGGGGTAGTAGGAGATATGACTTAAGAGTATTTTACCTCAGATATGACTCCTAACCGGTCGGCCATCTGGTTTACTCTAAATAAAAAGTGTTTACTATTCAATGTACGGTTTATTTCATTAGAAAGATAAATAATTTTTACGTAAATTTACAGAAATCCTTCGCGAATCAAAATCGAATTCAGATCTCTTCTTCTTTCGCTGAAGCTTTCTACAAATACAATGCTTTCGATTTCAGTGGAACGGTCACCTATTGCTCAGCCAATCAATCAGGAATATTCAGTAAATTGAATATCTTTGCATATGTTCTTTTCTGTATCGAAATCTCGGTGGTTAGTGGTGGATTGATTTTGAGGAATTTATATCAAAAAGAGATGAAGTGAGTGAAGAGATGATGCGGGTAATCAATGAAATCAATGAATCTGACTGAATCTTTCAATTTCCTTTTACAAAAACTTCAACTTTTACAGCCTTAGCGATCAAAAACTAAACCTTCAGACAACGAAAGAGTTACGATGTGAACACGGGTCTTTCTCTCCGACAAATCGCTCACACATTCCAGATTTTTCTCCCATTCAGGTACAAATTTCATTTTCTACACATTTCAGGATTCAGGGAAAGTTACTCAAAAATTTACAGGCAATGACTAGAAGTAGAGATCATAATGAACAAAATTCTTTGTTTTGAACTTTTAAAAACAGCTTTCCAACACCTTTTACTAGTTAATCATGATCTTAATCAATCGAAATATTCCAGTATCACTCACAGCTCATTTTTCCTTTGCTGGCTTTTATTCTCTGTTTTCTATCGATTATTTTATGGATCATTCCCTGATGATGTTTATTATTCGTTTTCATTGATACTTTATGTGAGTGATTAGCTGACTAGCAGACAAATCAAGTTTTATCTTCAAAAATCTCATTACAGGCTCCAATCTACTTCTCAGTCTTGGCTCCCTGGTTGTTATTTTCAATCGTTAAAAGAGCTGAAATGGTTACAATTTCAAAAACATCAAATCTTTTGGCGCGAGAAGCCGATGCGACAAATCTCTATTTTCAAATGAACGACGAAGTGTGGGGGAATGGAAAAGGGAGGAAAATGAGGTGGGGAGATGAAGAAGAGGTGGAAAAGAAGAGATCGAAAAGAAAAAGCTTTAGTGTGACGAGTTTCCGGACGAAAGTTTTATTGAAAATCTCGAGAAATCACAAAGTCGATG